TCACTTTTTGCACGACACACGAAACAAGTTTCAGTGTAGAGTTGTGTAGGTTTTTAAGTTTTACTGAAATCATGAACCAGTAAATGTTAAACAACCATTGGAAACCTGATCGGTTAATGATTTCAGTGAGAGTCAACAATCTCCACAATTCTATGCTGTTAATTACCATATGCTCACTGGTGGCTAGCTTTGACAGGGAATTCTTAGAGTTCCTGTGAAAAGCCAGTATCAGTGAAACTCAACCCTAACGGGGGTGAGATAGTTACCCACCGAATACAATGGAAGATGGTCGCACAATACCATAAACTGATTGATGTTAGACAATAATACAGCTGAATGCCGGCTCAGTAGTTTGAAGGTTAAGCGTTCGCATGCTAGACCGGAAGTTTTGGATTTGATTCCTGCGTGCAGGGTCGTGGATGTGAATTACTGAGAGGTCCCGCACTACGATAGAACGCCCGTCGAGTAATTCCAGGTTTTCAATGGTGGTTTAAATTTGATCGGTTCATGATTTCAGTGAAACGAAACAAGTGATTGAATGAACAGAGATCAATGGAATGTAAAGATCTGAGAGAACCGATATCGGACAACAACGAAATACAGATAAAATGACTTAGATGATATTAGTATCGACTGTACACGTTCCATTTCACTGTAATCAGTCTCTCATGTAATATTTACTTCAAATGAATTCGGAATCACACATCTTCAACAGGGTTTATAAGAAAAGCATTTTTACAAGAAGACAATAAAAAATGATTTTATGACAGTTCAATTAGATGTATTTTGTATAGGTTAGGTTAAATAATTAAATGAGGATGAAAAGAGTAGTTTGTTGTCTAAGATATAAGTGGTATATGAGTAATGTTTACTATTAATAGCGTCTTAGGTAGTGCAAACAGAGGTCTTGAATAGAGGACATTCAAAGTATAATATAATATTGTTCAAAGTATGTTGCAATATCCAAAGAACATTTCAGATCAGGCTACTATTGTAATTGTACAATAGGAATAAAGTTTTTGTTGTAAGTAGTAAAGCTTTTACAATGAATTAAGGAAGATTTGTGGTTCAGGTGATTGATTTTATGGAGTTTCGTTGTATGGGATGGGTTGTACAGTCGTACAACATTATCCTTCTGGATGAGATCAACAGCACACAAACTCCAGATGGTGAGGAATTCGAGTTTCTGCAAATTTCATCCAGAAGGTTAGTTAAAGGTTCACAATTAAACCACCAAACCCAGAGAAACTCCAACAATAACGGTTGTTTTGTCCCACTAAATATATGGGTTGGTTTAGATCGAATTACATTAATAAAACTGTATTTCTATATGTTAAAATGTAAGTCCGATTTTAAGTCCTGTTGTCAACTGGTAACGAATACTCTTTCCTTTAAAACTAACATAATTCTCGTTAAGTAAGGAAATATTCTATGACGTGAGATAACTATAAGGAGTCATAGTGACAGAAAACGTCCATTAATTCATTCGTATAAACTGTCTTCTCTCAGATACAATTTTTCACTTTAGAAGTGTTAACCAGTACAACAACTGGAGTAGAAGAATGTAAACTTAATTCATTTCATAGATTGTTTACAATCCAACCAAACTATTTATGACAGTAATTTAGAGATTTAATATAATTTAACAGTTCCAATTATCCACTTGACAAAAAAACGCGACTAAAACTGATCACATGAAAACTTCACACATCAAGAGGTAGATTCTGAAAAAACGAAGACTGGTCAAGAAATATTTAGTTTCAGATAGGATTTATCAAGCCAAATGATAGATTAACTGAATTACGTACCTAATGAAGTTCACCCCACATATTCTCACATTGTCTTACCTTGATTTGTAATTACACCTTAACTAAAGTTTTGTTGACTCAGACAATCAGGAAATGTAGCTTCGTTCAAATACATAAAATGGCTAAATTTGCTTTCTTTTAACAAATTATATTATGCTTTGTATTTTTAGTACATATAAATACATGAATATAGAATAAATTAGTATACATATTAAACTACATGACAGGCTTCTTAAACTATTCAGTGGAAAAGTATTTTATTTAAACATGCAGCAGCGTTTAAAGAACAGCTGTAACTTCACTATTTATCAACACTACTGACTATCAGAATGTGTTTTGTGGAGATTTTTAGAAATTTTCACAGATTGAACTCATGAGTCAGTTGAAGCTAGACACCATTGAAAACCTGGAAGCACTGGACGGCCGTTTCGTCCTAGTATGGGACTCCTCAGCAGTGCGCATCCCGACCCCGCACCACCGTTGGATGCCGGCTCGGTGGTCTAATGGTTAAGTGCTCGCGCGCGAAGCCAGTAGGTTCGAGCCCCGGGTGGTGCGGGGTCGTGGATGCGCACTGCTGAGGAGTCCCATACTAGGACGAAACGGCCGTCCAGTGCTTCCAGGTTTTCAATGGTGGTCTAGCTTCAACTGACTCATGAGTTCAATCTGTGAAAATTTCTAAAAATCTCCACAAAACACATTCTGATAATAACAATCACCTGCTCACTAGTGACTGACTTCAGGAGACACTTCTGGAGTTCTAGTGAGAAGTCGTTACCAGTGGAGTTCAACCAGGTCTGTTGTGAGATAGGAACTCACTGAAGACAATGGTGTACGGTAGCGCAACTTCGTGGACTGGTTGAAGTTAGACATTAACACCGTTGGATGCCGGCTCAGTGGACTACTGACTAATTAGCATTTAATATGAACTAAACAATTTCAGACTATATCCTCTGTTACTATTTAACAGATGCATATAAGAATCTTTGAAGAATAAGTCAACCAGTTGTTAAAAATCAAAACATGCAAATAAATTGAATGACAAATAGGGAAAAGTAGACAAATAGAATTTTTATTAATTACCAGGATATACTACTAATTCTTCAGTTTTTCAATACTCGATATTAAAAAAGTCGTTTTATGGGTTGTAGATCACTAGTTAAATCACTGAATTCTGAAGGATTATAGCAAAAGTACAAACTTACCCTTGAGTACACAAGGAAAATGATCATGTCATTAACTGTGTACAGTTTAAAATATCTAACAGAATTATCTCTTAGAATAGAATGAATAATATGTATTGACTCCTTATTTGAAGAATGTAATAGCTCCGATCAACTGGATAAGACAAAAACCTGATACGGTATTATATATATAAATTATAACCCAAAATTAACACGTAAATATTTTATACAGATTTATAAACGGATAGTAAGGAAATTAAAAAAAAATTAAACAGTAAACCAAGATGAACGTAAGCAATAGTTTCAATACAAAGTTCAATTACAAAATGAGGGATATTCTTGGTATAAAAAAAATGAATAAAATATTTCAACAAAACACATAGTACTATGTCCAGTGGATTTACAACAATATCAGTATAACCATTTCTTACTGTTCATTATTGTCACAATTATGCAATCAACAAATCAAAGCGAAGCACATCAACATTCATAGGCAGTTATAAGTGACAAATAATTATAAAAGATGAATGTGAAATAACTTATACAAGAAAAAAAAAGTTAAATTTTGTAGACGACCAATGTATTCAATTTTGAAGAAGAGAATTTAAGTGTATCAATTCATTTTGGAAATAAAACCTCCCCTGATTAACACATTCTATGAATAAATCTACCAAGAAGTAAGTAAAGAGGAAGATATACAAAAGAAAATTATAATTCGAAAATCATAATACAATAAAAGAATATTTGATTGTTATTTCAATGAATTAATAAATGTGTGTACAAATACATGTCAACTTTAACAAAACATACAACAGGCAATATGATTGCAACAACTACAACAATATAGAATACAACTGACTAAATTAGATAAAAAGAATATTAATTAGGTAAGTAAAGAAAAAGAATAGTATACTTGAACTCAGTGTAAAAATACTATTTATAATTATTGTACAGATATTATATATGTGTTCATTTCAAAAGGTTTTGTTTTAATAATTAAAAAAAACCCAGAAATTTGGTTAACCGGGAGATCATCGTTTATTTTTTCCTCTTCCTAAGTATAAAAAACCTTTTCGGAGTCGAGAAGACAAGTAAGGCAGTAAACAAATAAGGAGTAAGAGAGTGATGAAGAGACATGTAGTTTATCATATAACCATTTAAAAATGTGACTAGATTTAAAATTGAACAGAAAAGAATGTTTTTTTTCCTTCATAGATAAAGAAACTATCATTAGTCATAATATCTAAGTCCAATAAACTGTAGATAATGATCAGTAGAGAAATATGACAAAAGAAAGCAACAACAACGAGTTTTACCAAGTAAATTAATAAAAAGGCAACTTAGAAAGAAGAGGAATTTGTGTTACAGTGATAATACAAACACATAACAAACACTCGAATATCATCAAATAAAAACAGTGTGGATATTAAAACAACAACAACAACAGCACATAACACTAATTAATACCGACAACAATATATTCGAACATAATAGAGCAAAACAAAGTATTGATACAAACCAGCTAGATTTTTCTTTAAAAAAAAACAGGTTTGAAATGACTAACTTTTTTAAAAATAAACACTGTACTTCAAATGAATATTACAAAACAATATGTTTCAATGTGTCAATCTCTCCAACTTGTAAACAACAAATCAATGGTGAGTTAAATGAACTGGATACAGAGAAGAAAATGATAATGATCATTTAGATAAGATCTTAATATTTATATATAAATTAATTAAAGCACAATCAAAACAGAAGACTACACATATGTATGTAGATCTGTCAGTTGACTAGTCATCACAAACAATAAGAAACACTAAGTCACAATGAACAAACTAACGTGAATTACAAAGAAGAAAAAAAAAGAACAAATCAAAATGTAATGAACAAGCAAAAAGACAAGTTAACTGATTGATTTGGGCGTACACAACAACCTAATAGGTGTGTAGTGTGTGTGTGTGTGTGGACAATTGTTTGATTTATGGACAGATATTAAAAAGAAAACTTTTCAATTATTATTTTCAGATAAACGATTGCGATGTGGATGAACCTCAGCTTGCAATGGTTCCGATATTAGACCTATGAAATAAAATAAACAATTTATCATTTATAAATATATATACGAATAAATCTATAAAATGTACAAAAATACAAATAAAGTGTTTATTATTTTAAAAAAAATGATTATCATTAGTTGAATGATTCAATTAACTGAAATTAATAAAATCATAAGATTAATATACATTGCTGAAGAGTCCCATACTAGGATAAAGTGACCGTCCAGTGCTTCCAAATTTTTAATGGTGGTCTAACATCGATCGATTCATGATTTCAATTAAAAATTTACCAATCTCCACAATCCCATACTGAAGCAACAATAATAGTTGAAAATGAAAAAGAAACCTTCGAAGTAGGATTACGAATGAATTATCATCAGATTGAGTTTTAAGAGGAATAATATATAGTAGTATTCAAAGAAAACATGTACGTTCTCAGTTTAAAGATACTTAAGATTATTTAACGATTTTAACAATAATAAAAGGAGATATAATACTAATTAATTTTTCATAAATCATGAACGAGATGGTTAGTTATTAAACAAAAATAAGTGTACTTCAACCCTCCCTCATACAAATAATCAAGCTGATATGGATAAAGATCAATTACAGTGGTGCAGATGTATCCACTATTTATACTTTAATAGGTGAAAAGTTTAAAATTATATTTTATTAATCCCTTTCAAACTGAATTGTCATGTTACTTCTAAACTACGATTGTAAGTAATATTATTTCGAATCGATTAGTTTATAACTCATGAGTTACTCAATGATCAACCAATTTTACATACATCTATGTCTCACAAGGGGTCAGTCGCGGCCCGAACAGCTCATTGATAACATCTCTGACTGTGAAGTTGGGTGACACAGGGTTTATTATTATTTTTGGTTATCCACGTTTAATGACAAGTTTAGTCTAGGCCCGTGATTTGATTACATTATGAACGGACGATGAATGAACCGTGACTATAAATTCTCCATTTGATTTGGCATATTCTACTTAGATGTTAATAAAAAGCAAATACGAAATAAGTTAGACGAATTTATTTCAAACACGAATTGACTCTGACAGACGTTAAGATGTCTCAACTCAGTGAGTAATATGTGATTCATTTCTGATAAGTACGAAAGAGACAGACACCATATACAAGCATCGTCATGGTCACATGCAAGTAATTGGCAAGGTCATACATATGGATGATAGGATAATTAAAAAAGACTAGACTAATTTTCCTGTACCAGGGTTAAAACAAATCACGTAGCGATGTGACAACAAAATTTTGGTATATTAGTACTGTGATTATTAAATACATATATTTAATATTGTGAACATCGATGATGAGGACTAGGAAGTAAGACAGTGATACAATTTCTATTGATAACATTCTAAATTTCTGTTTACAGACAAGTTAAAGAATTTTTAATGAATTATTACCATTAACATTATGCACAGTCGAAGAATAGAAAAACTTAAGACTATAAAATACCAAAAAAATATTAATTAGTTGTCGCATGAAATAAATATATACATACACCAATGCTTAAATTCGGCTTGAGGTCAAAGATTGATAACCTTTAGTAGGAAAACTCACATAGTGTAGAATAGACAAGAAAATAAGCAATTTACAAGTCAATTCAGAATAGAAAAACAAATCAATTGGGAATATGATGTGAAAGAAATTTCCAGTTACTGTCATTGTTTGGTGTTAGAAGATAATGCTTAAAGTTATGAAGGGTTCACGTAAGAATCATTCATGAGATGATTATGGAGTGAGTTATACTATCAGCTACACAAAGTATATACTTTCAAAAAGCATCTTCAACCATTATATTGTATGACTATTGAAAAAAGAAGTAGTACACTCAGTGGTTAAATTCACATATACCTAGTCAACTGTGATCGGGTAACCCAACAATATTATTTACAAGATTTAAAAAACTAGCTTAAAAGGATTGTGGATAGGAATATTGTAAATAGTAGAAGCATTAGCAATCCATTGTTGCAAAAGTGGTCGGTATTCAGAATACGTTGAATGCTTCATTTTACCTTGAACCTAGAACGTGCTTCTACGTTTGGGAGTTTGTACTCTTTGTTTGTTACTTTAAAAAAACACTTTAAATATTTACTTAAGCGGGTAATTATATTTCAAACTTCTAATTCAAAATTTATCTTCACCTCATTTCACTTTTGCCTCATCGTTTACGAAATATTGAGAAATGAGTGCGATTTCCAATTATATTTTAAATAACACAATACTTATCTACTATATCAAAAACTTAGTTGTGCGTATGAAAGAAGATTTTGTGGGGAAACCAACTTACTTTTTTATTCAAAACCATGGCCTTTGTAAAGTATGAAAATCAGACATTAAATACATCATTTGCACATCTTCCTTCGGTCGTCCCTTACACACTACATCATTCTTCCATTCACTTGTTATTCCTATTGCTCCCAGTTTTCCTTACCTTTCTCTTTGTTTCAATCTTCTGTTGGTAAGCACTTCATTTCCAGTTCCTACTATATACTACTTATGCTTTTCCACATAAACAGTGCACACCATAATAATACTTTAAGTACGGTCAAAAAACAGTACAAAATAAGACAAAACGATAAAATGACAAGATACCTGCTAGAATTTCATCCATCATTCCATCTCCTGTAATCTGTCTAGTACGATTTTTAAATCGTCGTTTAGCCAACCGAGCTTCTTGTGCCAAACGCTTCTAAAACAAGAAGAATAAACAGTCGCACTCAAGTGCTACAAGCAGAGAAAAAATTTCTGATTCCACACAGAAAAAATGTGAGATCAATCTTTTCAAGGCAAAAACAATCATTTGATTTAAAAGCATTAATTATGAGCGCGAATCAGGAAATCAATTTACTGAGATAAAAATGAAGGAAGTGATTACATCTAATTCTATAAAAAGTCACATTGAAGTACGAAGACAAATGTGAGCGACAAATCATACTACTTACTAGTAGGCTGAAAGTCACTAACTAAATTCACCACGTAAACGAGATCTAATAGTTGCGAACTTCAAAATAACCAAACGAACCAAACTTGTATATTTATCGAAATCATTTGGACAGACTACAAAAACTCAGTTTATTAGCAAATGTGTTTAATTCGATAAAATTAAGGTGAATTTTCATACTTTAACACCAATAAATTATTGTTTTAAAATCAAAAAAGTGTTCTTATAAGAAAAACGATAGTAAAATGAATATCCAGCTCTTAAATATTTGAAGCAATCACCTAACATACTGGATGAATTGAAATTGCATTGCACAATATACTGAAATTCGTTAAACAGTAAAACAGGTCGATAAGATGTGTAAAATAAGTATTCATATGGATTATTCTATGTTGTCATAAGTAAATTTGGTGAAAATATAACACTGGATTGTATGAAGTGTATTAGACTTTTCATAATAAGCCGTATTAACTAGAATTAAGGAATGTAACTGGGTGGAGTAGAAACACTACTACGGTTGAGATCACTGGTAGTCTGACTTATTATGTACCAAATTTAGTTTAAGGAAATACTTGGTAATGTTTAATGTAGAACAATAAAGGAAGGAAATACTAATTAGTTAGGAGCTTTTAGCCTTCGAATATGGAGTTTTATGGTTGAATGAACTGAGAATGACTTGGTGAAATTAACAGTAACTTCAGTACTCATACAACATGATTTACGTCAACAGAGTTGTGCTTGCAATTGATCTAACACTGTGGCTTATATTTAATTGATAACAGTGTATACATATATGTCCTTGAAAGATCACTATTATGCAGTACATTTAATCTATATTCAAATAAAATATACAGTCAAGCCTAGAGGTGTTTTGATAGGAAGAATAACTGATTTACAAAACGAGTAGCTGAAACGAAATTCTAAAAAAACATTGACACAGGTAGGGTAAGTATGTTTTTGTGATGTATACAGAACTAGAAGTGAAAAGCATATAACGATTAACCAAATTCGTTCTTAAACAAATGGATATAGTAATCCTCTCAACTAAATTTCACAACACAGTTGAATCAATATTTTTACACATTTGAATACAAAGTTATGTGTGGTCTTGTGCAAATCAAGTAACCGTAATAAAAAAAACATCAGTTACACATAGTATAGTAAGTTGGTGTCAAATATATAGATTTTTGCAAAAGTACGAAAATATCATACAGAACTGTCTAGAACAGATTATACTGAAAAGGATAAACATAAAGGGAGAAATCCAAAAAGTTCACCATAAAAACCGAAACAATGAACAAATAACACAGTACTGGAGTATTCGATTGATAAACTGACGTAAAATAGTTTTAACATATCGGAGTATAGGCATGGTTATTAATTAGAGAGAAGTGATGATTACGACTAGTGTCACTTTCAAATACGTTACCACTTAGGTACACTGAATGTAGAAATTAAGCTTCCATAATTGAAATAAGCCCCATAGTCATTTTATGTGCATGAACAGAACTAAACATAAACAAGTTACTTAGTAAAGTTTGGCCTAGAATAATCAACTTCACTCATTAAATAAGTAATATTGTTTATAAAAAAAACCCCACTTTGCTACATTGTCAGCAGTGGTTTTATCGATATAAGGTCGATAGTAATAGTTGTAGAAACAATTACCTTCAAGTTAGTCAATATAATCTGATCACCGTGTAATCTACCATTAAATGATCCCAAAAATTAAAGATTGTTCTGTTACCAAAGAGAAAAACGCTCCATTGTGAAGAATACAAAAACATTAATGAAAATTATTATAGGTAAAATACAAGAACATAATCGACAAATTATTGATGATTTTCAACCACCCAGTGGACCGTTTAAAAAATTGAAAATATGAAATACAACACTAAAAATATTTGCGAAACACCTAAAAGCACTTGAAAACTATTTTACAATTATTGATTTGTCTTTATTGGCAAAAAATGTTTACAGATTACAAAGGGAAGCAGTGATCAGTGCAGTACAATCAAGTCAGTTATGAAATAGTTATACATCACAGTCAAGAGATGGTGGAAAAATATCGTTAATTGATTAAAGGTTATATATATATATATATATATATATATATATATACATCATTCAATCGCAGCTCAGTATCCTAGAGGCTGTGTTCGCGCGTGATACTCAAGGTGTTGAGTACGATTCCTGGATGAGCACTGTTGAGGAGTACCCTACTAGATTGAAACAATTATCCAATGCTTCTAGGTTTTCAATGGTGGTCTAACATTGATCAGTCCATGATATAGAAAGCATGAAAATTACAAAAAGTTAAAAATGTTCAATAACCAACTAAGCGAAGAACAACGAAGTTTTCCTGACTGTAGAACATATTATGAAGAAACATTTCACGTACTTTCTAGGATATTCTTTAGGTTTATCCAAGACAGTTTTGGGCAAGTCGCCAACACTCAGTCAGTTAAATATAATTTAGAACGTGGCATATATGTGCGTCGGCCCAGGTCGCTACATGACATTACCACAACAATATTACTAAGGCAAAACCCAAAGAAGCAGAAGTATTGACAGTATCGTTAGTAGTGGAAAAGTTATGAAGAAATATGGGGTCCAGGATTTAAGAGAAAGCACAGTGTGAATGGATCTGCGCCATTGAGAAAAATTCGTTGCCATGTCATCCAAAGTCTGTAACCATTGGTTAAGGTAATCACGCGGACTTTAAGCAGGTAATCTGACAGCACTCAATAAGAATATTTCAAATAAACAGTGACTTAGTGGTTAGGATGTTTGACTTTCAGACACGAAATCATACGTTTGAACCCTGCTACACCTACTTCAGTTTAGTGACTCGGAGTAGTATCACTAACTCACACACTTCTAGTATGACTGAGAGACAACCACATGAGTCTACAGCTGACGCGTTAACAGAAAAAGACATCTGAATATGATCAAATTGAGATAACAGAATTAAAACAGTAAACATAATACACAGAGACAACAGTAGTTAAGCAGAACACGAATTCAAATGATGCGATCCAATAAACAAATGGCAGACACATATTTACAATTCATAATTAAGAGTGATATGGAACAATTTAAAAAGTTATCTGTTTATAGTAATCAATTTGTATATTTTGTGAATTCAACTAGACGACAATTACTGCTCAACTAAATAGTTTAGATTACAGTAAATTTCTGATCATTTATATGGAAAATTATTCAACGCACAGTATTTAATTCACCGAAAACAATAACAAAAGAAGGATGATGCAATGAAGAATTGGAGAGCTCAATTAGTAGTACACAAAATTACCTCATTAGTAAATTTAGATAACTTTAAAAGAGATTAAATTTGTTTCTCTGAAATTATACAAAAGTTGCAGTAATATACTAGTTAAAAGCTTTTTTCTTTAAAGAATTACAAAGCATAAATGGCAACATTGCAATGGTTTTTCCGTAAAATATTTAGAATGTCAATATCAGTAGAGAGAAGATACAATGGAAACGTCTATGATATTATTACTATTATTAGTAACACTCATCTGTAGAACATTTCTTATTTGAGATGATGCTGTTTTAGCGACCATGTATCTGACTCCAATTATATCGTACAATGAATACTATCGATTTATAAATACTGCCAACCTTCGTATATTATCATCGACTTGGCTCGCGTTAGTGAATAACGGAATTAAATAAGTCAAATCCGAGAATGAATTTTAAATACGTATATTTTATAGAATCGTTGGTCTAGACAAACAATCAAGGAAACGATGAGAAACGAAATGATGCGCGTTGGAGAAAGCAAGTGAACCATCTCAATTTAATTAAATATGAATAGATATTTATAGACAAACAAACATAAGTTACAGACACATGATGAGTAGGGCAAGTAATTAGCACACATACGATCAGATAAAAAACAATCAGAATTACTAAAACAAGTGACAGAGTAAAATGTGGCTTGAGAAGAATGAATAGATTGGACTACCCAGAGGTTAGAATAACTCATGTGGGCTTGACGTAGTATCAGCCCCTACACTTTGTTTACTGCTTCAGATTATGTGAATCTCAATTACTGGATAAATAAGCGGAACGTGATTTTGACATTTATGAAAAACTTCACCACTAACATTATTTCCCATTTCACAATAAACGTAGCAGTTTACCTATTAAAAAAATTCAGGGACGTGTTACAACATCGAAATTTAAACCATTATAATTTTTATATAGGTTCGTGTCTATTTATTTATACAAACAATAGATTCTATTAAAAAAATGTGTGAATTTAAAAATAAAAGTAAACAGGAAAACACCGTTAGTTTATATTAAATGTTAGGGTCCATCATCTTTACTGACGTAAATGTCGTGGGAAGCTTGGATAAGAATACTCGTGTAAGTTGGACTGACATAAATAAAACTAATTTAAAATTGATTATGGTTAAATATCAGCCTATTTTAGACCTATCAAAAGGATGCACGTGAATGTCAGTGCTGATGCCCAACATTGGGACTTCAACCTAGTATAGTGAGCTTCAAGCACTCGACAACAGTAGAAATATAATCCTTACTAATAATGATTCAGAACTCATTTACCACTACTCAAACATTATTTTAAATGATGTAAAATAGATGGAATGTAGCTGGTAGTGGAATACAGGACGCGCATTTCGTCCTATTTCGGGCTTGCCAGCCGGGTGTACTTCGATCCCAAAGTTATTGTTCACTCCGAAGCTTGAATTTGGTAGTGTTCGTTTCAAATGTTGTCGAGTGTTCGACTTAGCTACTGAGTCTAGAAAACCATTAATCTGTGAAATTAGAAATGGTTTAGATTATTCTGCTATCGATATTTTTACTGAAATTTGATTAGCCTTACTAAGCCACATTTTATCTATTCAATGTTAACTTGTGTCATAATGGCTATATCGAAGCAATCCACACAAGATACACATATGCCAACCAGAACTAATCAAATTTCAGTTAAAATATCCACAACAAAATAATTTAAACCACTTTAAATTGATTGAGTTACTTAAAATGGTTTACAATAAAAAGAAGATTAACATTACCTAGAATATCATTGAAGAGATTAGAAGTATATCTTGTATATAGATACATGATAAAGGCATTATTACTGGTCACTATTAACTAATCAGTACACACCTTGTAGAAAAATACACCAACACTAATACGCATTTAAAATGTCTTTTTTTATTAAAAAAAAATTAAATATTAACAATCCACCAGTTAAACACATCAAAATAAAACAAAACTACATATAACACAAATGCACCGAAAAACATTTAGACTAGAACTAATGGATACAATAATAATGTTTACATTACAATTGAGCAAAATGATTTTATTTTGAAATTACGACTTGTTCTGTTTGTTTTAAATAGAAGAATGAGTCAGTCAGTGGAAGTGGTGATGCTGATGTGAAAAATAGGCCAAATTATGATAACAGAATTAAAAATTACAATTTTAATCATTTATGTAATGATATTCATCATTAACTATTATTAAAATAAATATGCATGCATAGGTTCAATAGGCAGAATTCAAACAAACCTGTAACTCCGAAACAGGAACATTCTGATAAATAAATGGATAATATTATTAATAAGAAATACTGATGAAAAACAATTTAGTGAATAGGTTCAATCGTAAGAAAACCAGTGTAGGAAAGAACTAATACCAAAGAAATCACCAAGTAAAAGAAACTGTGTGTAAGGGAGTAAGGGAAAAAGAGGAAAACTTTAAGTTAATGAAGGTGCGGTTATCATGGAATTGCGTACATTATCATTTATTGATCACTCAGTGAGTAGTAAACAGTATTGTTGTTATTTAGCCCTTTTAGTGTAGATCAAATTTTATCTGTGAAGATACAATGTGGTCATTAGTCTAAGTGAGTAGACATTACTTACTTACTCCTCATGATGAAGAATAGGCCGCCTCTCAGCATTCTCAATCCAACTCTATCCTGGACAATCCCTTCCAGTTGCTAGTCATCCTTTTCATGTTTTCTTCCAATTCCAGAGGTGATGTTTTCTTCGGCCTTCTCTTTTCCCTTTCCCTTCAGGATTCCAGATAAGCTCTTGCCTCATGATGCAGTTTAATGATTTCCTTAATGTGTGTCCTATCCAATTTCAACGTCTTTTCCTGATTTCCTCCTGAGCTGAAAGCTGATTTGTTCTCTCCTATAGTAGACTGTTGGTGATGGTGACCGGCAGACAAGCATAGAGTGTCTTGTGTAGACAACTGTTTATAAATATTTGTACTCTTTTGATGATGGTTGTGGTAGTTCTCCAAAATTCAGCTCCATACAGTAGAACTGTCTTGACGTTCGTATTGAAGATCCTGATTTTGGCTTGGAGACCGTTGTTTTGTGTTCCATATGTCGTTCAACTGTAGGAATACTGTCCTTGCTTTTACGATCGTCGCCTTCACGTCCATATCGGATCCTACTTGTTCCTCGATGATGCTTTCTAGGTACGTAAAAGATTTCACATCTCCATCAAATGTGATTGGGTTTGTGTTTTCTGTATTGTATTTAGGGATCATGTGAGTAGACATAAAGTGTGCTATTTTGAGATGTTAGCTGGTTGGTATTAGCTGCGAAGGAGTACATGAAATCTGAAGGAAAATGATGCTCTCAGATAGATCCAAATTTGAGTCATTCAGCTATAAAGTCTGGGACAATACCAACTAAGTTATTACGGCCGAGACTGATTTTCTGTGAGATTTCAAGTCCTTCACCTATAACAACCTAAGAACTAATGCACTCGAATCTATTGTTCAACTGACAAACCAACGTTTGTCAAATCAGATAAATGTCTTTTATGTACATCACTTATCACGAATCGTTAAAGTCTCGAATTAAATGTATTGTACAGTTATATGAGTGAAGAATTTATCCAAATTTTGATTTATCACAATGAATCAATGTAAACTATAGCAACAACTGTAAAACAATTCACACTAGATTCTACTTTGTCAAATTCATTATTATCACAAATGATTTAATTTGTATTATTAATTTTCGTATAACCAGTCATCATTTATACATGAATCACAATTCAAAGTCGAATAATCCCGTAGTAAACAGGTAAATAATAGTTAGTAATACATAGAAAAAAATTATTGCCACATAAAGGTAGAAGGTCAGATATAGTCAAAAATAAACAAAAAAATGTAAGGAATTGATAGATATCAGTGCTGTAAGTCATAATAACATTGAGATTATAAATAACCTAAACACTGATGCATACATACAGATATAAGAATTTAGAATGACGTCAAATTGTAAGTTCATATGTATTTAAAACAGTCAACAGAAAGAAATACTAATGAGAAATTTTATAAATTTACCATTTTTTTTTTACAAAACTACCATTTATATGATATTATACTGAATGATCACATCTAGTGATATTTCATTGAGTTTTAACTATTTTGTATTTCATCAAGTTAGTTGAATAACAATAGTTTATTTGTTGACCAAAAAAGTCGATAGATAATACACAATTGCTACAGTTTCGTTCACTTTTTTTATATTTTAGAGCACAACTTTAAGTGCTTTAATTAATAGTTGTAGAAAATAGTAACTTGAAAAGTGAATTCCTTGGTAGATTAGAAATGAAACTGTGATAGTATTGGATTTACAGAAAAAGCTACAGTGTACAAGAGTAATCAGCAGATATTATTTACAGATCATTAATGACTGCATGAAATGGACAACAAGAGTTAATAATTATCATTAATAATAATAGAAGGAAGATTTAGTGAGAGGTCAAAACAACCGTGATGAACTTTTAGCCAGTCTTTATCTAATCGATCAGGAAACAGCTTTTGTAAATGAACAGTTTATAGAAAAAAAAAATCAAATAAGGCAAATAGATTTCACATAATAAATGAACTTATTAAAGTCTTCTACAGATTACTCGGACTGGATCGATAAAACAACGGAATGAATTCGTCTTTATGAATATAGATAGTCGACTTTCGAGAACAACTGTGAGGATTAGAATAGATTTTTAAATGTCCACATTGTCTCTTGTTAGGGTAAGGATTAGGGCTATAACGTAATAATGCTCTGTAGCCATATGGATGAGTGGATTTTGCGAAAAAATCTAGGAGCCGTTGCCTGATGAGGTTGTTCATAAAATATAGTGCCAACAGAATAAAAGTTTCATGGTTAAGATGAGGTCTTGTCGACTTGCCTATTATGTACAGTTGACAAATAATTAGAATTTCATATGTTGAACACTATCGTTTTCGCTTTGTGTTGGAGAAATAACCTTTTTCGCTATGAGTATTATGTACAGGTATTTCACCTACTCGTTAAGCACGCCATTTGAATTTTTTGCAAAAGCCTGAAGGTCGTGCTCTCTATTTCGATAGACTCGTTTAGATACTTTACTTTCGTCAACGATATGCTAATGAAGATGGTTATATAATTAAATAAAGTATAGGACTACACTGTAATTGATAAACAACAAGGTAAAAACCAAATGCTTACATCTTTTGGTCTTTTTGGAATATGGTTGATTGAAATTTGATTGATTGATGATAATGGCCCATTATCATCACCGGTTACAGAATTTAAACTTTGAAGGGCTTCAACACGACGTCGTGCTTCGTTGTCGACTATTGCATTCTGAAAAAGAAAGACACACAAAACATTTAGCAAGTTACTTAAAAAAGTGGCAGAGCTATGTCGTATAAGATTTGGAGGTCTATTTAGCGGCTAGGCATTTTACTGATAAAAAACTATTAGGAAGTACTCGATGTAACAAAGCGTCAACAGTTATCACTAAAAAAAGTTGTCAACCAGGTCATTATGTCTTTGATGAAACAAATGAACCACTAATAAAACACTATAGATGCCCGTTAATTCACGAACACACAACACTAAAAATCGATAGTTACAGTAAAATCTGTTTACAACTTTACCTTAAAAGTTTATGACAAAATACACAGACTATTATGCGTACACACAAGTACAAATGACACGAATTAAATCAAAATTATTACGTCATGATAGGTGATGAACACAGCTGATTCACTAGTCGTTTAATAAGTTTATATAAAGGTCTAATCTTTAAATATATATTACCAATGATCAGAATCATTATTGTATATAATAAATACAACAATACTACTAAAAAGGAAATACATTAATAATAGTAGTAATAGTAATAATAATAATAATTCAATATGTTTACTTTGAAATTCTTAATAAATCGAACAATTAAACTGAAAAATTGTTCTGGACTAGGTTTAATTTGCGCTTCACCAAACCATTCAATTGTTCTAGCAAACATATTACGTGCAGTTTCTGCTTGCTTTTCAACAGATTCCACTTTAGATTTATTATTCAATACAAAATCTGATAAACGTTGTGGTGTTTTCAATGAACCAAAAATAATTGTCTCTTTATCAGCTTGTGACATACCAGAAACTAATGCTGCGACATCATTTGTTAAAGCTTCTGTTGGAACTGTAAATAAAATAGAATTTTAAATAAGAATTATATTCAAATGGGAAAAAAGAAAAAGGGGGAATTAACACAGATATGGATATAAAACTGCTAGAAATATTCAAATATTTAAATAATTAACAGAGAGATATGAATATTATACTGATTGAACAAGTAAGTAATTAGCTATGCGTTATATAATAGTATTTGAAATGACGAGTACAGGATTCAAGTTCTCATGTGAATAGTAATACTAGGAACTATGTATATCGAATCGGCTTGTTCTGAATAGGATGAAATTAGCATCTTGGATTCCGTTGCTAGCCACAATCTTACTTTAATAAAAACTAACTGACTGATAGTAATTTATATTATTTGTGTACGACAATTATGCTCTGACACATGATAATACCTTGGAAGTGTTTAAGGTAATTTGTGTAAATATTTGACTACAAATAGTTTCGGTTGTTTTACAATACAAGCTGAAGGGAAATAGAAAATGAAAGCTTTGAATTCAAAGCAACTTGGATAGAGGGAAGTTTTAACCAAATATCATAAAATGATGTTACGAGACTTAAAATAATTTTATTACACACAGTTTTGATTATTTAACATTGACCATTTTACAATTTGAAGAAAGTAGTCTTTTTGTCTTTGGTTCATTGCATCACAATAACAAATGAACACCACACAGAAAACTCATTAAACTAAGTAATTAATACAAAAATATACTTCTAGATGATTAATGCTGAAAGCAATCTGATTATCGATGGTAATGGGAAAAATATGTTTTATTATGCACATATAATATATGACACATTTAATGAACATCTGTTCGAATACATTAAGTGTTTCATGTGTACATATTTATATATTATATATACATGGTAAGTGGGAACTAAAGTCGAAGTATAGATAAAAATAGTCAATGCTAATTCTAAGAATAATAACAAGATATAATACTTTCTTCAATCAAGTGAAAATGTAAATTTTAGGTTGAAAATAAAAACTATGTGTTTAGGAAAGATTTAAGATAAGCTATTGAATGTTGACAGTATGAGCTGAACACATACTTGTCTACATTAGACTGGAAGACTAACCAAAGGAGTATATTTCAAATAAATTAAGTAACTATAGAATATAGCTGACACAGAAGTAGTGAATATATTCAATAAATTATACTTTGAAATAAAGTGTTAAGCGAGAATTGAAATGAAAAACACTCATCGCAAATAAATTAATTGAAAACAAGGTTTATAATGTACAAAGTTATCGATCAAATCTTTATATAAATGCGATAACATATAATCTTCACAGAACGACCCCATGATTCAGTAAATACGCAATTCAGCAGCCTTATATACACGCAGAATAAGTGGCTCTCAGTGACATTATTAACTGATATTAATAAGTATAAAACTAAAAATATGGTATTAGGATGCAGACTGCGCGTAACTCAATGAATCCATAGTTGAATGATCATAGTACTATAATATTTGTCGATTTGATTACAGTATGAAGAGCACTTATCAAATATCACATATGAGATATAGAGTAGTGCATAGTAGGTGGTAAATTATAGTATTTTAAATAGAAGTAATAATATGATGTAATGGAAATCTTTCAAGAGTCTAAAAACACAATAGCTATAAAATACAACAACGAAAAGATAAAATGAACAAAAAAATGTTATAAATACCCACAGGATGACTAAACTTTACTATTAATAATAAAATAATGGTATATTTGTAATATACTAAAAAGTGGGAATTAAAAGGCTTGACATTTGGTGATTTAGTGTAAGGCACTTTTGCAGAGTACTTTGGAAAGTTAGGAATATAACAAATATACCATTATTTCATGATTAACATTCTATCCAATTCTCAAATTATGTTTAACCATGGTAAAAATACTTATAAATTCTATGGAATTATATAAGTTAAGGTGAAACTAGATATAAGCAACTGTTTCCAAGTTCAGTTAATTCGACAAAGAAGATGCTGATATAAAGAATTATAAAGTATAAGTATACAGTACTTAAAAAGTTTTCGTAAACGTTGTACAAGTTAACTAACTCTCTCAAACTTTTTATATTGACTGATGACTGAACAGTGACCCCTGTTATTTTGTTTAATTCATATTGATCAAGTTGCAATTTGGCCAGTAGTATCGGTGACCCGACTACGGGTGAACTATGTTGAAATGGTAGATGGTTGGAGGTAATCGAAAGTAAACTATGGACCTAGGTCTTTTTGCTAGTTGATTACTCGTCTAAACTATCCGCTTTTAACAAGAACGACGTTAAAATTGGGAAATGTAGTGAGTGTGATAGAGTAAGCATATGTAAAAAATGAGAACAGTCTAAAATAAATAATAAAGAGTAACTATAAAGAAGAATTTAAAAAGCGGGAAATAATGATGTCAATAATGATAAGACTGTAAATATTCAGTGTCACTTAAATCAACCTTCCTTTAAGTGATTTCATCAAATTATTAATTTTCAGTCTTGTAAATACAAAACAGTCATGGTGACGTTAGTAACAAATGATGGATTTGGAATTTATTATGAATACTTAATTGATGTACAAGTAAAAATTGACAGACCACAATGTGATGATTTTAGTTAAAATGAAAGAATCTCTAGTTTACTGTGCTATATAAAATACAACTAACCCTTTGCAGCTTCTACGACACCAGTCAATTCATCGTCAAAATTAACTAGGGCAGGAAATTGGGTTTCAATTGTTTCAACTATGAAGTGAAGCAGAGTCCACGATTTATCCAAGGTCCGTGTGTCGGATAACTGAAAAAAGATAAGTTGGAAACTAAAGAAAATGAACATTACATACCTATGCACATATACGTTAGGTTTGACGTTGCAAATCGTCGAATACATTTCCACCGCGATTTGATATTAGCTAAATATTAAAAAACCCTACACCACAAACCGTATAGTATCCTTCTCTAGTCACACACGGAGAGTGTCGTCAGTCAGTCAGCTACAGCGTAGGACCAGGCACATATGAGCATTGGTCCAAGTTGCCATACTTCATTAGCACAACAAGATGAACACCGAGTTCATAGAAGTAGTTAATAAAATGGTGGTAATATATAAAAGAAAGATTGCATATAAGGGCATAGTTATACAAACTTATTGTATAAAGCACTAATCAAAACGATTTACTGTCAAGCTATAACTGTTTAGTTCGAAGAAAATTGACCGAAATGTAATGAGCTCATATTCTTTTGCAGTGTTTACAACCAAAAACGAAAACAACTCAAAGTGCATATGTAAAAAAGCAAGACGAAAGTAAAGTGTAAATTTGATACTTAGTAAAATAAACATGATGAATATCGATTTAACTAAAAAGGAGTACAATAACCAATAGAAGTGAGCTTTTCAACGAATAGCTTCAAAAATGTGGGTATTTATAAGAGTGAAGTGAAAAATACAGGAAATCATGAAGGAAACTTTTGTAAAATGACTAGGATGTGATTTATTATAATTTATCCATAATTATACTGATCCATTAGATAGTTGGTGTGATCTTAATATTGAGAGCTCTTGATCTTCTCGTTTGGCCGTTTTAAAATTTACTTTTTTGGAAAATTAACAACGAACAAAGCCGTTTTCCTAACCAAATTACTAATCACATCATCATTGTAACACTCGCTATATTTTGTATATAAACGTTTTTTTTGTATACAAACACTTTTTAGTGATCTCCAACTTCCCATTTATTTCGTTGTATAAAAGGACTTGAAATTCAGTAGAGGGGATTAATTCAAATTAAAGTATTGAGTCATAGAAATATCCTTTGAACTGCTCTATCATCTCTCTTTTAAAGAGAAAGATACTGAAAATATATTTATGATACATGAATATACCACTTTGTGAAAACGTAGTTTTTTGACGTCTCTGATGTGATTTATGATGATTTCAGAGATGAAGTGTCCTTCACATCATTATTTTAATATAAGAAGAAAAATCAGATTTGTTTATTCAACCTCAAAGTAATTTTATATTCTTGAGAAATAAGTAAAAAGATTTTCAATTTTTCAAATAGAACTGAACTATCGGTCTAGATTACTTGTCGAAACAATTATAAACACTGACACATTGTGAGAGATTTTATTGACTGAGTTAGTTTCTTATCATTTCCTTCATGGGTCAAAATAATTCCATGTCAGTTTTTCGTCAACCTACACGGCACGCATAACGACTGTTATTACGCTGAGAACCTATGTAGCCAAAGTAAAACTTCAAATTTGATGTAATACATGAAGAAACGTCTTTACTGAGACGATAGAGAATAGAGCTCAATGTTTTAATCTATTTTCTGTATTACACATCACCAAACAAAATCTAATAGAAAGCAAGATGAAGGATTATCAATTTTCTAGCGTTCTCTGCGACGTTTAGTGAGTCTGTTTTATCTTGAGAGGTATCACATATATGTGCTTCTAGAGCGAGCTATATTGATCATAAAATATTACTGAATCTCTTACGCCTGATTATATCCGAGTCACATGTTAACTTAACAACCGTAGTTTATGAACGATAAAAGACGTAACAACATTTAATCAGTCGATTGAAGGCTTACAACTACGAGAATGTAAAAATACCATCCACCAATTATTTCATAAAAATACTTAATAAAAATCTTTATATTTATACATATATAGGTTACTAAGAGAATAGCTTTGAAAGTTTCACAATTTCAATTACTCGTTTAATCTTCTTCGAACAAGAAGTGCATTCGATGGCTAGACAGATATACAACACTTACCGTTCCTAATTATTGATGAACCGATCAAGAAAATCCCTAATAGACATTTACTTTATGCCTTTCAAAACTAACGTTTATATCAATAATACAGAAACAATAACCATATTTATAGTTCGTATTGTTACAAAATGAAAACAGAGAATTTACAACTTGCCAAATTAACAAGCAGCTTAAGTTAATACAAAAAACAAGATGATTCATATGAACAATTTACGAAAGTAGTCAGTATTCAATAGTTATGGTGTAGGTAGAAAGATGACCATTGACTATGTTTAGCGTATTCTGTGTTTAATTAAACAAGAAGCTTAAGAGTAATGATTCCCATCTAGAGTAAACCTTTATAGTTCGGTCTACGAATTGATAACTGATGACCAATAAATTTTCTTTAATTATTGATGTGTAACCAGTAATACAAAAAAGGAATTCACTAGAATCATGTCATTTCAAAGAAACAAATAGGAACTGATAACCAAGAAAATGAAAGACAAAGTTATCCCACTATGTGAAAAACGACCAACGTTGAACAAGTCTAGGTAAATAAATTAGCTATTTATGATCAACGCACATTGTAACACAAATAAGACGTGGGTCAAGATGTCACACCATACTTTAATAAATGAAGTTAACAAAGAAATTGAATCATATGGTAGCAATGATTATGACAAAATTTAAACATTGATGTGGTGAGAATAGAAAGGACGAATGTATCTGTGCCATTATAAACGATTATAAATCATATCAACCAACATCAACAACCACTGATCTTAGCTATTGCCCATACTCCAATATAGCTTAGACAAACAATAGTCGACAATTTCCCAAATAATTGAGACAAAAAAGCAACATAATTAAACAAAAGAGGTAGAAAAAAGAAAGGGAAACTTACAGCATCTAAACTCTGTAAACGAAAACCGTAGGCAATACCACGTCTGGAACTATTCATATAATTGCCAAAAGCTAATATAATTTCTAAGATAGCTCTAAATTTACAACTGTTTTTCAATGCTAACGAAGCGGATCTTACAGCAATAATTTTCTGATAAAATAATGAAAATGAAACAGAACAAATAATTCAGCATATATATATATATATATATATATATATATATATATATATATATATATATATATAGAGAGAGGGTAAGTATGATATAAGTAGAGTAGAAAAGGTAGATAACAAAAAATTATGGTGTGTTGAACTCTTTTCACTATTCGGTCGTATACTCATGAAATCGACTCAATTTTTCAGACAAAACTAAAATCTGTTCATCTATATTTATTATGTAGATGATTATTGAAATCCAATACGGTGAGTCATATTTTAATGATAATCTTTTAAAAGGGAATAAAGTCAGGCAATGTGAACATTTTTTAGAGCAAAAAAGTACAAGACTATAGGTAAAATTTGTCGACAAGATATAAAATGATATTCATGAAATAAAGACGGGAGCGACCAAAATTGAGAAATCATCCTTTGAAAATAGGTACTGAAAATTTTAGTTTAACTTCATTGTCTCTCGTGGATAAAATACATTACACAAAAGCGTGAGATAATTTGAAGGATTCTTAGTTAAGATACTTTCGAAATAGGTTTACAAACAAAGAAACAGTAATAATTATATGTTTCCGTTTGTAATATAAGCGGTCATTTATTTATACTTATTTTTCAGAAAAGGGGATTACATCCATGGGTAGAGTATTACTTTTAGAGTCTAGATAAAAACTAACCTTCTATACACAATGGTATATAACAAATGGACAGGCTCCACTTCTTCTTCTTACAACTAAACAAAACCCTTTAAGTTTCGTTCAACGAAAGTATCACCAATTAGTCTCATATGGCGAAAATAAGGAAGAATTAGAGCCTTAATGATTAAACTAGATACATGCAGCATATATCAGCAAGAATTTTAGATCCAGACTAGGACCTGATAGTGAACATATAAATTATAAATTACAATTTCGCAACAACAGACGCTGAATCAACCTGTTACATTTACCAGTAGCCATAGAGATTTTTAAACACTGAATCACACAGATTGCGGAAAGTGAGCGATTTCATTCACATCAGAAAGTTTCAGTAGTTGGAATGTTGCAACATTCCACCATATACCATTTGCATCATAAAAATAACCGTTGAGTTTTTTGACATTACAGTTGGTTTATATTCGCTGAAAATAATTGTAACTTACAGCTATGTATACCAAATGAGCTATCTCCGACAAATTTGTTGATATTTTTCGAGCCAAGCATTTAAGTACATAAAATGAAGTACATCTAAACAACTATCACATAATATTACGAAATTAGCAATAGAGTTTAAGGGGATTTTTATTGAATCACATTAGCTCCATGAGAAAAGTTAGACACCAAATAAATTATGACAAACGAATAAACATAAATTACTGAAAATCAATTTGATCCATGAACATATAGTACACGGTTTAGTTGAAAATGATTATGCAATCGTAATCAATGATCAAAAATAAATACACAAAACAAGTACACGTTTTTACGAAACATATACTGATGTATGTGACAAAGTGCACAGAATACAATAACGTAATAAAAAAAATTGTCTACAATGTAAGGGTTAGTTTAAGGAGTGTGACTTGACGAATAATTTATAATCATACATTTCATTATTAAGACGAACACTCTTACACAACTAAATCCTACCCTTTAATTATTTGAAATCAAGGTCACAATGTTTAAAATTATTACCTTTATAACATGATCCATACTGAGCATGAAAATAAATCTCACAAGCCATATGACTATTAGCAGCCATATAGCAATCTTGTTTTATGTAAACCTAATGATTGTTTCTTCACTGTGCACAACTAGAAGTGGGCGTAAATACATGGTCTGATCAGTTGCGTAGGAATAATTTCAACTTCAGTAGGATACAATACACATGTTCGTGATTAGAATAAATATAATTTGATTAGACTTTATGTCATCATCAGTATTATCAAGGTCAAGACACATTTCTCTGGATGATATATATATATATATATATATATATATATATATATATATATATATATATTATCGGCGGTCAAATAATAAAAAATGGATTCAGACAAATTCTTGTTATATCAATAAACTCTCCAATTCATATAAACACAGTGATGAAACCGTGGTAAAGTTGAATTCATTACTTTTAAAATTATTGCTTTAGATGTTAGATATATTTTTGTGGCTTGACATAGTACTAGACATTACAATATCGTATCTAAAGACATAAATTACTTACCGAATTCACTACATTCAAATTATCTTCAAATGAATTCATGAATAAAATAATTTCTAATCTAGGCCCTAAACGTTCAACTTTGCATAAATGTAGTAAAAGACGATCTTCATCCGTTAAATCATCAATAGATCGTTGTTCAGTGAATTCATAATTTAAATAAGTTTTCACTTCATCAGCTGTTGGCAATTGATGGTATATACGATCTGTTACATCTTGACCTAGTTCTAAACGATTAATATCATTCCATAAACGTTCTGGTGTATATTTTTCAGATTCCAAATAACGTAATAAAACGCCAATACAACTGAAACGGAACAAAAAAGCGGAGATAAACATGAGTAGTGTTATTAGCATAATTGAAGTGAGAATTGCTTAAAAAAGCTGATTAACTTGGTAGTCGATTCAACTTAGTGACCTAGCATACATATCGTTTTACACACCTGAATATTGTGAAATGTATTACACAAAATGTACCACTGTACGGCAATACCACATATTTCTTAATGAGAAAAAAATGTATGAAAGAGATTTCATTAAGTCTAAATGTTGGTGTATTTTAAGAAAAAAAAACACTACCGATCAATATATGACACGATTTTTACTGATGATTGTGTGTAAACATAAAGCATAATTTACTAACATATCAATGTTCAACGTCCTAACGAAAAAGCACTGAGTTGACTATTTATATTATTGAGACAAAATTCAGCAGATATTTTTTTCGTGATCATTAGTTTATAACATACGTTAACGTCGAATAGACAATTAAGATGCAATGATGCGAATAGTGACATAAACTAATATCAGTTTTCATATTTACTATGACTGAGCCAACAAGAGAAGAAAATAAACGCTTGGTGTAATAACTTTATATTACATAGAAATATAGGAACTTTCATATCAAAAAGTTATTGATTATTGATAAAGAGAAATTCACGCTATACTAAACCTTAGATAGTAAACATTATCTCCATGGCTTATTATAAAAAACCTTAGTTACGAGAACGATTAGACAGCTAAACTTTTCAAACACCAGTTTGAATTACAAAAGTTTTAGTACAAAATAAGAAATCGATATTAATTACCTAACGTTTCAATGATAAATGGAAATATACCACAAATAATTATAGGAGTTTCAGTGTACATTATGAAACAGAGTATAATGCATACTAATATATGCGATCCTAAGTCACTGAGACTGTCTGTTGTATACTGTATATAAGCCTCGAATACGTGAATTTACAATTACGACGAAAGTAGGATGGAAGTAGTTGTCAATGGCAACAGATTCATGAATCCAGCTAAATTTGTCTGGTTTTCAATTGTTTCCATATAAACATTTAGTAACAAATGACACACTATCAACAAGTAACATGTTTATTGTTGATGAAGAAGATAGCCAAATATTTCCAATCATCAATAAAATCGTTTAGTTTTACAGAATAAAGAGAACGAGTTTTCGTATGAAACTTTATACTGGTAATATACGTACAAACATAATAACAGTCAACTGCCAAGTCAGAATTACATAATTCTTTTTTTAAAAACTTTAACGTATTAATAAAACAGCACAACCACTACTTATTTTCTTCAATAGGCAACTATTTCGCTATCGATCTAGTTAACTTTACGGATAAGTCCTCCCACTGGGGTTGAGAGATACTAATTGGAAAATGAATCAATAAGTGGTGATCGAATACTAATCAACTAAATGATTGATAGAAATTTGTGTAGTTCTGAGAAAATTTCGGCATCAATCAGCATTATTTCGATAATGTCAACCTGTACAAGAAATATTACGAGAGATTCAGTGTTCAGACCAGTTACGGGAACGAATGAAATCATCAGAGAAGCATTTGAAAACTTAGAACAACTATTTCATTTTGAAAGATCTTGACAGTCAAATCCTCAATCATATTCTAAGATTAAACATCAGTAATAACAGATTCACATTTTAATCTAATGTAGTAAACGTTGAGTACGAAACTGTTAAAATCACATAGTTCCAGAACCAGTTATCCAATAATTAGATAACTTATGATATATTAGTTTACAAATTGTAAAACCGAAATGAAATCCATTTTATTTACGATACATTAAGCTAGTAATGCACAGTGGTATTCAATAAACATAGATAATAGGAACAATTTTTTCAAAAGTTTTTTTGACTTGATTAACCAGTTGTAACTTTATTTGATACAATTTCACTAAACCATAGAAAATATTTATTACGGTCAAATAATGGATCGTACAACTATTATTAATAATTTATTATGTATATATCCTGTTTGTAATATTAATGCATTTGACACTTAAATTTTAGTACCACGATGTACAAATATACGAGTAAATAATAATAATAGATCGATGGAGTACTATTTATCTAAAATATTATACCAGAATAATGTCCTTTTAGCAAATAGGCAAATATTTACTAATTATATATATTGTATATACTTAGACCGATTGTTTACGTACATAAAGTAGTATGCGCTAATATCAAATGTGAATAAATTAATAAAATCTAAATTGGAAACTTTTAACACGTTTTTCTTCCATAAATTTGGAGATCTGGTTTTCGTAGTAAGGTTTATATCGTAATATCTTATAAATTTGTAACAGTTAGTCAGTCAGTATTAAGCAAAGCAAAACCTGGAGCATAAGTGCATTGATTTGACTCGACAGACCATATCAGTACAGCGAGATGAAACTATCAAGACAAATGTTGGATCAGTAAAAATAACGACAGTAGCAGTAATAACATAAAATTTTAGATATAGATTAATATAACCCGAGGAGTAATTAAGTCGTGAGACAAATAATTTTATAATTTTAGAACTCAAGATGTAACGGAAGATAAAACGTGTATGTATCTGCCTTAATGAGACCGATTCTGAGCCATGCCATTCACGGCCTGCAACCATCGGCTACACCGATCATGCGGACACCAACAAGGTAGTCTGCATCTATCCTACACGGCTTGGTTACAATAATGTTTTCATGAAATGCTCTCACATGTTTACCAGTTAGTTGCCCTCCTACTTGGTGTAGATTTTGAGAAATAAAAAGACTATGAATGAATGCAAATTTATACATTAAAGTTTTTAGATTATTACAAAATAATCTAGACCGATAAGCCATGGGAAATCAAAGTGAGCTGAATAACCATTTAATAATATACATATGAATCCACCTGTAGCTTTTCTAGGGTTACTGTCGGCCTCGAAATTGGTTAAAAGACGGGAGTTGGGAATGTGGTCACAAACCTCATCCCGTACAAAACAACCTTGCTAAAAAATACTAACCAGAATAAACATTTTAAACCATTTAAACTCTCGTCTGGGACTAGGAAGATCTACTTTCGGAAGGACTATAAAGCCCCATAGTGAAAGCCGAGATTCTTCGGAAATCACGAGGCCGATGCCCCTTCTAACAACCAGAGCAACCATCAATATAGGTATATGGAATGCTCGGACAATGTGGGAGCCTGAAAGGACCAGTCAAATAGCTACAGGAATGAGGAGATACGACTTGACGATGCTCGGAACAATGATAGCAACAACGACAATAAATATTAGTTCTACGAGAGACTGCAATCAATTATAGTAAAATGCTCAGGAAAAGATCTGACCATCCTGATCGGACACTTAAACGCCAATGTCGGAATAGATAACACCAGGTATGAAGATATTATGGGACAATATGGACTAACTGGAAGAAACGAACGAGAATGGTGACAGACTTGCAAATTGATGTGCATTCAACAAAATGGTTATAACCGGCATGATATTTCCCCAACAAACGCATAAACAAAGCTACACGGCATTGTACATTTAATTTTTAGTTCCACTATACGTAAAAATTCGAACATAAGGTTAATGAATGGCCTTTTACAACATTTTCACAGGTGAAACAACCACCTTTATATCTCTTGGAAACAATCTAAAGTTACAAAAATGAGCAGAACATTTATTGTTCACCTAATAATTTTCAATAATGTAGTAAAGAAAAAGACGAGTCCCTAACAACATTAGTATGAGGGCTGAATGACATTAATTTATATTAACAGAAGCCCATGATTATAAAAAATGTTTCCATTGTATTCCAAAACATAGTTAACAGAGTAATTATTACATAGTTTTACATAGCGGACTGGTTCTTAGTCAGACAGACATTGAAAACAAGAAAGTGTTGAACAACAGGGCTTCTTAGCAATCCGTATTCATGACAACACCAGGGATCGAACCTAGGATCCACAGGTCCTGAAGAAAGCACTTAACCGTTAAACTATTGAGCTGGCAACTAATGTGTTACAGGTTTGACTCCCATCAATCCGCGACAAAATGGAACCATCTTCCAATGTCATTAGTGGATAAGTGTGACGCACGTGACATAAGTGACAGCTATATAGATTTAATAATAATAATAATAATAATAATAATAATAATATAATAATAATAATAATAATAATAAGGCTAGTTAATGAACAATGAAAACAGGGGAACCACAAAAATACGTACCGATGTCTATTTGAATCCATTAAAGATTTTTTCTCAACTTTTTACTTATTCGACTGTCTTTCTGATCTAATCCATTTACCAGATTATTTACACCCGATTTATTACTATTATTCACTGATTGATTAGACAATTTGAAAAGATTTTCAAATCTTTCAGTATCCAATGCATCCAAAACAGCTTCATCATTCATGCCAACAAATATTGTACCACGAAGTTGTTGATTTTTCAACAGGACCCAATTAACTAATGGTAATTTGTATCGAGTTTGTATGGGCGGTCGTATGGAAACACCTATATTCAATATGAAAGAATAAATGAAGAAATAGAAAATGATGAAAGACTAAAAGAAACACATGTGCCACATATTTTAAACAGGATATAACTCATTAGTTATTAAAATGAAAAATAACTGTAACTCGATTACAGATTGATCACTCCTACTTTTATGCTTTATCATCCACTTATACCGACAAATAAGCAGCGCAATCACTCGTCATTTATTTGATAGTGTATAACCGTTGGCATTTTAAGATCGTATAAACAACTTCAGAAACATTAAATTTTGCCGAGGCCATTGTTACTAAAGGTTCAAACTGAATTTATGCATTCAAAAGAATGATGCTATCATTCTTGCACTGTTCTGACGACTTCAGTTTCTGAAAATTCTTTCCGTGAAACCTTATTTTGTGATGATAATTACAAGTTTGATTTCTTTGTTCTATCGTAGATTCTGTCTGAGCTCCAACTATTTCAGTCCTATAAAAACCCTTTTATTTAGTTGACATTACGTACCTTTTATCATTAGGCTTTTAGCAACATGTATCCTTGAGTTTTTTTCATGAATATTCACACTTTCCAACATATAGATATCCGACCATAAAAGCATATTTTATACTTTTTTCTAAATCTAATAACGTTTACTGATAACATACGTTCTGTTGGGTTTTGGAGGATCCACATAGGAGAGTTGGAAAACCCTGATTCAAAACCAATGGTGCACATGGGTTTCAGAATGCTGGGGGAACAAATGACGCATGAACAGATTGTTGGTCAATGGCTACCATGGGACTGCATCTCCCAAAGTTGTACTATAACCTTTGTAGGCTAGACCTTTAGGTCAAAAGCTCGTGATGTGGTCCCCAAAGAAAACCACCTGCTCCGGTTTTGGAGCCCAGGTAATATTCCAGCCGTCATACAAATCAAATGACGAAGTGTGGCGCATATATATTTGATGCCTCCTTGAACCAATGTTTGCGTTTAAATAAATAATTAAGAATACATTTCTGATATTATGGTAAAAAGTATGTACACAGTTTTGTTTTACAAAAAAATGAGTACTATTATTTTTACGTTGTCAACTTGCATATATGTGCCTGGTCCTACGTTATAGCTGACTAACAGACGTAAATAGCTGAAGTGACACCGCAAAAGTGAATTCATATTATTAAGCCAAGTTCATTGCTTTTGCTTGATACAAATTTGAATCACGATCTGGTTTTAGCTGGACCATCAATCAATACATAGAAGAATTAGACAGCCGTTTCGTCCTAGTATCAGAGTACTTGGCAGTGCGCATCCACGACACTGTAGGCGGGAATCGAACTCAGGACCCCCCGCCTAACGTCTAGACTACTGTATCCGCTAGCGACTAGCCTCAAGATATAACTCCTGCAGTTCTAGTGTGACCAGAGTGATTCAATCCTTGTCGGGTGTCAGACAGTTATCCATCACTGACAATGGATGAAAGTTGCACAATATCGTGAATAGGTTGAAGTTGGACAGTAATACCGTTGGTTACCGGTTCAGTGGTCGTTGTTGTGGACTGGTGAGGAGTCGCATATTAAGACGAAACGGCTGTCCAGTACCTCAAGGTATTTAGTGGTCTAACCAATATCGGATTTCGATTTATACTTTGAAAATACTACAATCTTTACAAATTCATCCACACCAATTATGCAAATTTATTAGTGGGAAAAATAGTGTAGTAAAAGGAACAATGAAACATCAATATTTTAAAAAATTTAAAATGATATAACGATAAACAAAACAAAACTAGCCTTCTGCACCAGGCACCATTGCACCCATTCCCGGTGGGGAGGAGGTGGTGGTGGTATACCTCCTGCAGATGGTGGTGGGGGTGGCGGGGGAGGAGGGGGTGGTGGCGGAGGGGGAGGAGGAGGTGGTGGTGAAGCATTAGCACCAGCAGTAATAACACCACTTGTTGTGTTTATCGATTCGGTAGAGTTACCAACTATCCCATTCACTTTTATTTGTGATTTCGACTGTGAATTTTTAACTGTATTCAAAGTATCTTCTAGCTCACGTAGTCGTTGTTGTAAATTACGCTCACGTTCTGTTGTGCTTTTATCTTTATCCAATAGTTGAGCACGTAGTGTAGACAGTTGACCATCTTGATTAGTGCGCTGATTCTACAGTTATAATGTATAGGTAATAATAGTAACTGTAAAAATATATATTGATTACAAAAGCGAGAAATCAATGAACTAGGAATTATCAGAAGGGGTTTGTGGAGATTTTAGAAATTTTCACAGATTGAAATCATGAGTCAGTTGAAGCTAGACCACCATTGAAAACCTGGAAGCACTGGACGGCCGTTTCGTCCTAGTACGGGACTCCTCAGCAATACACATCCACGATCCCGCACCCCGCGGGATTCGAACCCAGGGCCTACTGGCTTCGCGCGCGAGCACTTAACCATTAGACCACTGAGCCGGCATCCAATGGTGTTAATGTCTAACTTCAACCAATCCACGAAGTTGCGCCACCATATACCATTGTCTTGGATGCCGGCTCAGTGGTCTAATGGTTAAGTGCTCGCGCGCGAAGCCAGTAGGTCCTGGGTTCGAATCCCGCGGGGTGCGGAATCGTGGATGTGCATTGCTGAGGAGTCCCGTACTAGGACGAAACGGCCGTCCAGTGCTTCCAGGCTTTCAATGGTGGTCTAGCTTCAACTGACTCATGATTTCAATCTGTGAGAATTAGGAATTGGTTAAATTAAACAAAAACAAAAACTTAGAACGACAAACTAGTCTAAACTTTTAAACTGCTTTATGAAATTATTACACTGGAATGCGTGAACGTATGTTTAAGGGTAATATAAACTGAATATGCCAAGACTATGAGATAATCCTATCATTCCATATAACAAATACGATGCTGCTCGACGGATTGTTGAATTTCTGAGCTCAGAAACACCGGTTCAGAATAAGTCAAGATTAAGGAATATGATTACTTCATAGTAGATAGAAATTACGAGAAATGAAGAGGTTAACAGTTATACAACAGTAGTTATTATAATCTTAAGACAGTAGAACAGACAGACGACTAAGCTACCAAGACTTATAATCGAATAACCAGGTTATACTTAGTCCATTTCCCATTATTTTTAAAGCTTAAAATTTTTTTTAAAAACTAGACAGTAACTTGTCCACATGAAGTACAAAAACTGAAGGAAAAGATGAAGGGAAAGTAAGAGGAAAGAGAAGACAAAAACAAAGAATAATTGGTGATTCATAGCATACAGCCTCACACCAAGTATTTTCAGATAAACAAATCCATATGTGTTTTGAACAATCATAATCATATATCATCCAATCAATTCCTTCTCTAACAGTAGTGTTTAACGTTCTAATTGACATATATGCACCAATAACAATTTCATTGACTAATTATTACATTTGCTGTTATAATCAATGTTATACAGCATTATGGAATAGAAACAATTACACCATGTCATACAGTATAAGACTTTTATAATTAAACAAACAACCATTTGAAATAAAAACCAAATAAATGAAATGGAAAACAGAATAAAACGCAAAGAAGGAAGAGAGGAAAAGCCGAGACACAAATTTAGATTAGACAGTCGATCAAAAAGAGGTTAAAGTCAATAAATCCATTATCTAGTTGGGAGCGATATGGAAATAAACACTACTAACTAATCACTAATATATAAATATAAATATAAATATATATATATATATATATATATATATATATATATATATATATATATATATATATATGGCAAGAATATATTGAATTAAGTTGCATCTATGCACAGTACATATATGCGCTACTGTACATTTGAAAAACTACAATGAATATTTTTCAAAAATGCAAGAAACTAGTTGATGTTTTGTACATACAAAAATCGGTGAAATGGATTAAAAAAAACTGAAATTCATGATGAAAAAACCCCTGATATACTATTTCTAGACGTTTATGTGTATTAGTTAGTTGGTTAACTTATTTATTTGGAACAAGATAAAATATAAGTGAACAGAATAATAATTAAACAATAAACTGAATAAATTTGTCTGTAATAAGTAAAATGTTACTAAGGTATGTAGAGATTTGAATTTAATCAAAAAACAATTGAGAAACATTTGACAATATTTAAATTACGAAATAAAATTTTCACTAAACATAGTTACAAAGAAATATGCACAGACGGATTTTACAACTTCGTTACTGGTAAACGATAGAACATAGATAAAGAGAATATTAAGTACTGAATTATTACTGATCTCAATTCATGGAATATTCTAAAATACACTTTTACTGTTTCATAATTCAATTTCATACATATTATACATTATTGATATAAAATGTGTAAGCTGACAACTTTATAAGACTGTCAATAAACTTTTCCGATAATTCAACCTAAACAGACAGATGAAAAGTTCAGAACCTGATAAAATATTCTTACATTTTCAGAACGTCTAAGATCACTTGTTACTATCAGTATGGTAGGAAATACGATAAGTACTGAATAACATTTATGAAACAATATATTTGGCATCGTATATTATGACTTATTTGTCAGTGTTTATGAAGGTTAAGTAACTTTTAAACACGAAAACTAATAACTTATTTCAATATTCTCAATATTTAGAAACAATGTTTACCTCTAAATCTTGATTTTTTATTTCCAAAGCTTGTATTTTTTGTTGAAGCTCCAATAATTTATTTTCATATTCTGCTTGGATTGTTGCTGTACGGGTTTGTAAAATGATCAGATCTGATTCTGCTTGTTCTTTCTCTTGTTGTAACACATCACGCATTTGTGAATCTTCTAATAACACTGCAACATCCACTTCATTATCATTATATGCTTCTATTTGACGTAGAAGACGATCACCGGATTGATTGTATATTCTCTGTAACAAAAAGATGGATAAAATGTAAATTTATCACATGATAAACGAGTTAATTGTAGAAAAACACTAACGAGAGCATTTTAAGTAGTTGAAAGAAAATATCAGAAATCAATAACCCCATGATTTATCTTGGGATTTTAGCTAGTATCATGCAGTGTGACAGTTATAGACTACACATCACTGAGTTATGTAGGTCGTGATTGAACTTCTCAGTTGTTTAAACCAACTTACTTAACACTTAGTAGAGAGACTAATGTTAACATGTCATATGAGTTATCTATCAAAGTTCGGCGAATTTAATCACAGTGTAGAGCCTTAAAGGTTACGAGATATATAATTTTGGCGTTAAAACCCATCATGAAGGTAACAGTTACTAATGGACTGGTCGAAAGTCAAAAGGTAGCTAAAATTATTCTTTCTTTATGAAAGCAATAATTATTTGTAAGATGAACAAATTCATATCCTAATGATAAGCAACATATCGTAAGATACAAATTACACATGGGTACGAATTTTCTGTTTTCACAATTATTCCCCCACTGACAGATTCACTATTAATTTTATGAATATTCCAATTAATATTATAATATTCATAGCTAATAAATATAACCTAATATCCAAAAAATATCAATATCCCGACCTATTCACCGTACATAAGACCTTATATTTGCATGACGGATATTATTACAAAAATATCCAATAACCTCATGTTATATAACAGAAATTAATGTCGTGACCTTGGAATAAAAATAACTTCGGAAAGTTCATATGGTCAAGAGTTATAAGATACATAAAGTCTGTAAAAAAACTTAAAACACCAGGATAGAGAAATGTAATGTTTACAGATCGATAATGCTGAAGTTCCTAATTTTGACAATAACGTTACTCACTACTTCACTAAACAATCAGCCTTGAGCACTGAAATTTTGGCTACTTTTTGCTAATTATGCTGTCCAATACACAACTAAATACGAAGATTGAATCTCGAGAGACTTGGAGAGAAACAATTACTAAAGATAGACCAAGATAAATACCAAAGAATTAAGAAAAAGCGGTTGCCCTGATTTTATGTATCGTTGTATAAGATCGTTTAATTCGCACAACTATAAATACAAGTAATGGATGAAATATGTGCTTACAAGTGTAATTAAACGAAGAAAAAACAATCACAATTTTGAAAGTGTCGTTTTCTGTTTATCATTGACAAAATATCAACTACATTTGTACAAATAGTCGGTTATAAGCAACGTAGAATCTAGCATATGTGTGCATTGGTTCAAGTTGGCCCAGTAAAGCGAGATAAGATTATCAAGATTCGGGTAGATACATGTACGCTTCGTTTTCCATTTCTTCTTGAGTTCTAAAATTATATTATAAAATTATTTGTTTCACGGATTCATTTTTCTCCAGTCAGGTTATCTATGCCTAACATTTTGTATTAACACTGTTACTGTCATTACTTCTGCTAATGATACTGATTTTGAAATTTCACTCACACAGAATGTATTTCCGAAAACATTTCTATCATAGACTGATATCAGTTGACGAAACACTGAAAACCCAAAAGAGGGAGAGATAGAGAATAATCAGCTATATTATCGTTCTGGTTACTTAGTTGTAAACATTCATTCATTCTAGAACTTCCCATCAATTCACATTTTTCCCATTTTATGTCTTTTGGTAGAAAGAAACACAAGTGTATTGTAATCTACACAAGCAAACAAAAGTACGAAAGCTTCACAAAATCGTATTTGATAGATATATTACAGGACTATCATGCTACAAGGACTGACATGACCAAACACCTATGCTCTTGAACATACAGGTCATTCATTATTGTAAGATTGCTTATAATGTATAGTGGCACACACGAAAAGTAGGAGGAAGTTATTGTTGGCGGAGAATTTCATATTGTACTGAACATATAACATTGAATAAGGAGATTATCATTAACCAATTTTAACTGTGAGTGAAAATCGTCTTCGTAAAATAAAACAATAATTTTCACAGAACTGTGTGAAATACCCACAAAAATGATACACATACCGATAAATAATTAACTAATCCAAGATGTTTAAATTCTTCTTGTAAATATACTCTTAACATTATATCATCTGTTGAATGTACAACTATATTGAAAAACTGCATACACGATACCTGAAAAATAAAAAGAAAAGAAAAAATTATTAAATCAAAATAATTGCGACGAAATAAGAAACAATATTTTCGAAATATAATTTTATATGTAAAGAAACTAATTTATTTAAAATACATTTACGTACTCAACTTTTATTAAGTGATTATGTGAAGACTAATGAATCTAACTGGGTGCTCTATTCCATTTAGAAAGAAAAAGAGTTCGAACTTGTTAATCGAATGTCAAGTGATTTAATCACAAATCCACCACTCTACAATATTGTCCGTGTGACAAAAAGAATTTAGATGAATGGATTTCTGTTAAATTATTCAAAAATGTTTGAAATTTATAAGAACCGTTAGCGACAAGTGAAACATTATTAAAGTCATATCTACAAATATTGAATTAGCCAAATGTAAACAATTTAATATGAGAGTGAAGATACTAACACAATGAGTCATAATGTGAAAATTATCGGAAACTCAGTCTTGTTATTTACATAGATAACTATGATTTCTGTTTATTTGAAATTCATGATACAACAAGCTAATGATAAATGTCAAAGTACAACTGGGTCCCGCTTCTTCCTAAAAATGCTATGCTATGTTCATGTGTTTCTAATGTCTTTCTGAGGATTCTCGCCCTCCCCTTTACATGGATAACATATTTTCAAACAATAAACAAAAAGAAATTGGATGTCAAGGAGTTAAATTAATGAATACGAAAGATATATTTTGATAGTTGGAATATCCTGATTGAAAACTAACCATGTTCGTGGGCTATAAAACCCCAAGAAAAAAAGTATGGGAATACTTTGGTCATTGTGAATGACCAAATGACATAGCCTTACTATTTAGTGAGACTTAAATGAAAGGTTCATTAATGACCTCCTGAACATGAACCACTACACCATACGATTATAATTACAATGAAAATAGTGATAAAAAAGAGTTTGTGAAACGTGGGAAATATTCGGTCGCTAGATTAACTTCAGTTGCTATGACCAAAATTAATTAGAAAGCCTATGTAATATAATTACTGTGATCAGAAATTACTCGAGGGAGATAAAAAAAAAGAAAAAATAGAAATATTTCCGTAAACTATAACATGAAAGATTTACTACTAATATACTTTTATGTAATTAATGTGTACTTCACATTTTAGTATGGATTAAGTGCGAATTGTTCAGAATGCAATCCGAGTTGCATTAGACAAGTAGAATATTAATTAGACAATAATGATTGAACACTTTTATGTGGTGAGTAATAAATTATCCGCCCAAAAAGAATAAAAAAAAAGCAAATTCACAAAATAATAACTAAAAATCTATGCAATTACAATTTTTAAAAAAGGTAGTCTTTTTCTTTTCAATATGCTAAAAAGTACTCACTGTAATTGGTCTGAGTCATATTTATAAACCTCAGAAACATACAAGAACATAAAATCACGTACACGCGCCTACACACATTTCGAATTTAAAACTGTTTTGTTTCATTAGGGGTGATATTGGTAATTTGGATTGAATAAGGCATGAGCTACTGTTTGATTACTCCCATGATTTAGGTGTGAAAATAAATAGCTTCCAGGAAATTAAGATGTTGATAAGCCATATATTTTAGACATTAATTTTGTAGCCGCCTCTTAGTCCCCGAAATTCCTCTACTATTTAACCTCTAACAGAAAACAGAGGATGGTAAAATGTAGAAGCTTCATTTTAAGGGTCAGATCATTTACAAAGAATAAAGGTATTCGTGGGACGACCTTGAGACCTTGAAAGCACCGAGAAAACGTGTAAAAATCAGTAACGCAATTTAGTAATTGTAAAGACAAATTAGATAAAGCGTTATCAGTAATCTAGACTTTTCTTGGCTTTTAGATAATTCTTCAAGAGGTTATCGACGATTTTCAAGAGAGTCGAAGTAATAATTAGAAAGATAATTGATGAACTTAAAGAAACAACTTCATAGTTTAAAAGACTTCATATAAAAGCACTTCTATACTTTATAAAGGGTGACACTAACTGTTTTAAGAGGACATTCTTTGTTATGGATTAACATAAAGTAGGAAATAACTGAGAAACAGGAAGCACTAATAAACAGTTATTTCATTTTAGTTGGAAACTTTTAGCTGTCACAAATGGTATAACGTGAACATAAAGGGTAAAACCTACCATCAATATAGGCGACATAATGATGAGTTATTGAAGTGAAACGCAAATATTTATACTTTGCAGTTTACATCACGGACTGACCATAGTTAAACAACGATTGAAAACCATGAAGCATTAGACAATTACTTAGGACTAGAATAAGACTCCTCAGCAGTGAGTATCTACGACTCTACCGAAAATCAGATCTAGGACTTTTAAATCTTGTGATAGGCGCTTACCCTTTTAAGTACTAAGTTCGAATCACATGGTTTATATTTACAGCATAAATTAATTTGTAACAATGAATAAAACTGTGCTAAATAATCAATGAATAAATGAGCAAATAATATAATATAATAAATAAAACAATAAATATCAATGCATAATGCATAACATAACTAGATTTCAAGAAATATTAGATATTTCTAGAACTTAAAAAGCGTTACATTGTCAGTAATCTACTGAAAAATCAATGAAGTCTAGAGCAGTTGATGGTTTACCACGAACTAAAAAGGATTATGAGAATTAGGTCACAGTAACAAATTTCACTAAATCAATGTAAAGAATTAGTTCTATGGTCATAGTATACCGATGGAAATGCCGAATATACTTATTACGTTAATCATAGTTTTTACAAATATCGAGTTTATGCTTAACTTTGTGGTAGTGAATTATCGTTTTTGAAATATCATAAAACATTCTTATTAAGAGTAATCTAACGGTTATTCGAAGGTAATGTGATATTCAGTGTCATATTTCATGGGTTTCTGAGCACTAATATTTTACTGATATCTTTTGAATCTCTAGTTGTTTGCTTTTTTACTAGTATTTTTGGATCATTTATTTCTATTTAGTTCACTTCAACATATTTCGTTTTCTGTTTTCTATTAAGAAATGTAATAACACATTAGCTTTCCGATATCTCGTTTGTGTGCCGTTTAATTGACTATACTTTTCTTTCTGTTCATGGACTGTTGATAGTTTATATATGAGTAGAAAACAGAAAACAAGATATGTTGAAGTGAACTAAATAGAAATAAATGATCCAAAAATACTAGTAAAAAAGCAAACAACTAGAGATTCAAAAGATATCAGTGAAATATTATTGCTCAGAAACCCATGAAATATGACACTGAATATCACATTACCTTCGAATAACCGTTAGATTACTCTTAATAAGAATGTTTTATGATATTTCAAGAACGATAATTCACTACCATAAAGTTAAACATAAACTCGATATTTGTAAAAACTATGATTAACGTAATAAGTATATTCGGCATTTCCATCGGTAAGAACCTTCCATAATTCCATGAAACTAAATGTAGTCAGTTTGCGTTGATAGTTAATACACGAAGGTTGCACAATATAGAAAGAAGTAAAAATATAACTGACAATTCTGTTATTGTGTGTCATTAAAAGTGACAACTGACCCTACAATTTTTAGAAAATTACATAAGTACATGCATTGTTTACAATGTTCTTAGACTACAATCGACTTTCCAATTCGTGACATCAGACTAATGCAAAGATACCGAACAATAATAACACACAAATATTATTAAACACTAATCCAAATTAAATAACTCGTTTATTAAAAATAATATAAAACTATCCTCAAACTATTTTAAAACACTATTTCAGCACATATTTATTTTGTAGTTCAATGATCAATCTCAATAAATCATAATATTCAATAGAAATTTAATAAATTGAGATAAAAGTAATTACACTTACCATAAAATCCATATTATAATCTGGAGATTCAGATTCATGTGTGAAAAAATAATGTATTAAATATTCAAAACGTGTAGACTCCCCAACTTCCTTTTTAAAATTATCAAATGCATTTAATACGCGTTCATGTCCACCAGTGATTAAGCAGACAACAGTTAAAAGTTCAAGTACCAAGGTTTTTGTTCTTAGAATGAAAAGAAAAACAAAACGATAATAACAATCAGATTTAAAAAAATAAAATAAAACCCGTGAATAAAAACCAATGTCTATGGAAGCCTACCATTATTATCGTTAATACAAGAAGTATAGGTAAAGACCAACTATAAGTTAACTCTCATACATTATCGGCGATTTTGTTTGAAGATTTGAGACCAACAGCTCGGTATGATTTTAAATAAAAGGAAAGGAAAAGAAAAATACTCTGCCATTTAAACAGCAAAAAGCACAAGAGCTAACAAACAGTGGTGAAACCGATTTTAGAGAGAATTTATGTTGCCTAATTATCAGCAAAGTAATGACTGGTACGATAAAAACTTTTTAAAGCTAATGTCAAATAAGCCCCATCAAAACTGTCATTTAACATAGATATACAAATACTGTAAGAAATCTATAGAATTAGAAAGAATACCATTGCTTTCATAAATTATTGTACAGTCAGGACCTTCACTTACAGTTCCAGTAATAATGTCATCTGGCATTTACAACATAGGAAGCTTTGCGATTATCACTAATTGATCACTCAGTAGTAAACAATACCATCTTGTTTATTACTTATCTTTGATTGAAATCCAGTTGAACAGGTCCCAGTGTAGTTACTAACCTGAAGGACAAAGCATGGCAATCAGCTATTTCTGATGTTAAGGGAGTAGAGATGTTCATCGAGAATCTCTAAACTTACGTCCTGTGTTAGCTAACACTCATAGGCGGTGAGCATTCACAATTTTGAGAGAACTGACTCTTCTATATGAATCGAATCAGCATGAAAAAGTACCACAGTCAGAGACATTATCATTGGACTATTCTGATAGCACTGATTATATGTTTCTTTTTAAATCAGTGTGGAAATGCGCGACAGACATCTGCATAAACATATGTCATCAATAACAGAATAGTTGAAATATATCATAAACCAGTTTCAGTTGTTGGAAGAATCGTCGGACATGTTCGCATAAACAAATGGACATTATTACCCAGAGTGAACACAGGTATCATCGTATAACATTGAGAAATATAACTAAAAGCTTAATTGTTCTCGTCGAATTCTTGTCAGGCGTGAGATTTGAGTAATGTAGTTTAGATCAACTGCAATGGTGACAGTAATAAAACTTTTTCTTAAACTTACAAGAGCAGTTATAAACTAAACTTTTATCCTAATGAAATAAGCAGACATTTGATGCAAATCAACAAATTAAATTTGCAAATGATTTTGACCTAACGAATGATCATTTAATATTTTTAACGTCATTAAAAGAAACTTACTGGTAACTTGGATGCAGGAGACACAGAGCAATAACATTCACGGCATGAGGATGCTCAAATACCATTGAACAACCACGCTAGAAAAATAAGACGAACACACATTTACACAGTAGGAGTAATTTATTGTAAGCAGTTATTACGGTGATATTTATAATGGCTAGAAATGTACGCTTTACATCCCAGAATGCAAACTGGTTCAATCCGTCGAAAGAATTCGTTGACTACCAAGAATATAAATAGCGAAGACAACGCAAACAGAGTATATTACCTAACAAATATATTTGGGGAGAAATAGTGTGTATAAATATAGTATCTGCTTTAAGAATCACAGTTTAACAATGATTTACAATTTCTTGATATTGTTCCAAAAAAGGAGCGTACATTAAATTTTAACGCAAAGACAAGACTAATACTTGTCTCTGAAGAGAGATGGCTATTAAAATGAGTAAGTACGAAAGTAAATGAATATTTGAAAAAACATTATAGAAAGATGAATAGGGATGTTTCATTTGTTTATGTGGGTAGAAATTATGAACGCTGCTTTCCAATAACACTCTGGTCAAAAATCATTAACATAATTTCATTGGTCTTACAAGAAGTCACTTTCTTCAAAGTTAACTAAGTGTATTATCAGTGAAATCTGACTAGTTTGAGAGACTAAATGTAAAACTTAGTCAAGTAATGTTGAATGTTGATGAAATAAGGGAATGTATAAATGAATTATAATGAAAAAAACAATGAAAATACTGCTGTAGTAAACAACAACTCGAACCCTAAAACCTTTTTTAGCCTATTAGTTAAAATCCCACGTCAAGAAAATTATGTTGTATAATAACAAACCTGATTATTAAGTAATGCACGAAAGCATCTGACACCTTGATGAAGACTATCCCTGATTGAATCAGATATGTGTCGGACATGAACAGGCGAAAAAGAAATGCGATCATGTTTTTTTTTCCTTAAACTAGAGCACCATAAACCAGATCCAACTTTATCACTTTCATTAATATTATCGCACAGATCAGTTATAGAAACTGCTTGATCCGAGCTAAATGAACCTAGGAGAGCAGAACGTTGTTGTTGAATGGCATCCACGGTAGGGCGGAAATCAGTTCTAAAATTAAATTAATAGAAATTGTTAGCACAAATAGGTTTGAATATATGCTAGTTAACTAGAACAAGCATATTTTTAAATTGGAGTCATTAAAATGGCATGCAAACAATCGGTCGACTCAGTTTACGAAAAGATAGAGTAGAAAAAAAGGGATGATTAAAACTCCATTTTTGTTTATAAATCAGAAACAGGAATCAAGCTATGAAAAGCGATGAAACGTTATTGTTCATCAAACTTATAATCAAAGTATATTAATTATATGATAAAAAGCCATGCGTTCCCAAGATGTTCTGAAGAAGAGAAACTATCAACCTACTCTTTGTATGGCGACTATTGACGAAATATAGAATATACGTCTTGTCATATTATGAAATAATGTTATATCTACCTATATTTTATAAAATGCCAGTATTCTCACTGACATTAAGAGCTAATACCTACATTTATCATGATACTTTAATCGTTTTATGGATAACAACATATGTACTTGAAGTTGTTGGTGCTAAATTCGAATTTATGTAAAGATTGTAATATATACGGAAATGTGAGCAGGCATATTAGTTAGGTGAGACTGAACGTGTACTGAATTTTATCGTTATCAGCGAGAACGAACCACATTCGAATCATCCCATATGACGGCATAGGCCAGTTAAATCACATCAAGTAATTTCAATAATCAAACAGACAATTAAAAATATTAGCATTCTAACTTCACATAAACAAATCAAACGACAAAAATCACTCCATACTCATGTATTTATAATAGCAGACTATTAGTTAACAACATATATCATTTCATCAACAAAAAAGCGCACATTTAAAATGATTCAGTTTGAAGTGGTGTAGGTAAATGGAAATTCATAGTCTAGGACATAACTAGCACATGTAAAAACCCATGCATTATGTAACTTACGACAAAATAGAACATTTTCTAAACCTTTTGAAACTGTTTAGTTATAGATTTAAAAATGAATTAAAATTCTGGCTTACCTCATAACCATGTGTATTACTCTAGATACATAATTCACTAATGCTTCCAAACCCTCTTGATCGAGAAAATCATAACCCAACTAAAAGTGAATGTATACAACTCCACCACTTCTAGAAACTACGCTACATTGTTTGTTCGCAATGATATTTCTGTAGCTAAAAGAATTTCTTTTGCTTGCTGCCCATCACCTTTACGTGGATTCTAAAAAAAATTGTTAGCGAAAATAATCAAACCTTTGTCAATGTTGACCGCCCGACACGCAAGCCTTTAATCAGGCTAACATAATGAAAAGCGGAAAACTTTGGATTTTTTACAGCCTAAAGTATGATTTCAATAAAACAGTACACAGGCGTTTACATAATTTTCCAATAATTGACGTTTCTGATCATCGGGCAGCTGTTCAATACCCTTGGCTTTATCAGGGTCAACGTCTAATGACTGTATAAAGTTTGCCCATTGATCTTCATATTTTGGGGTATTTTCATAATTCATGATTTAACCAATATATAGATGCATTCGAGTTCAAAGCAAAGAACAGGTTTCAAGAGCTAGCAAACATGAAACGTTTGATAAGCATTACAACACTGATTATAAATATTAAAAAGTTGTCACTATACAAACAAAAAATTATACAAAGAACGTTTCCCAGAAATACATACCAAGAAAAGTTAAATATTCTTAAAGTATTCCATATTAATCTAAACTTTATCTGCACGTTAGAACAAAGATACTTTCCGACTCACATTGTCGACATCTAGCAGAAAAGATCGCTTAAAAAACGCTGAAGATGAGGAAACATAGAACGATATACAGTGTTACATCGTCTCAAGCAATCTCACACTAAAATCTAGTCAACACGAAGTAAGGATATTGAAATGGAAACGGAGAAGGCAAGAGATCTCCGGTAATATAGCTACATGATGGTTGATCGCTTGGCTATGATGAACCTAACAACAATAAATTGTATTTGTTACCTAATCTTGAAAGTTTGCCTATTATTAACTCACGGATCTTAGGGCTAAAAGCCTGCAGTTTTAAACAGGATGCTGATAGGCTTGATTAATAAGATTTTGACAGTATCAAACACTAAGAAGGACACTGATTAGTTAGAAGCAGCTTATGGATAAAACATATTAATGCGCTAGATAATTGTCCAAGGTCGTGCACTGTTTATGAATGACAACTACGAAATTATGACAAGTTATGGGTAGTAACACGTAAATCTTTGTACTCAGTGTGAAACAACAGAATATACAACCCTTTAGTTTCCTACGCTTCTTCAGTAAATGTAAACAATAATAAATGTGTGTATCCAAGTTACTGAGCCCAGCGTGTCATCAAGAAACAATCAACATCAGGCATAGAGTTATGTTACCTGACCTTAAGATTACTTTTTTGACTATTAAGTATGGGTACCACTTCAAAATCACATTCCGCACGTTCACCACTCATACAGAATTTTCTATGTACGTAGAGTGAAATTTCACGACACTAACCCACTATTTCAATTAATTACAGAGCATTTAACTCCATGGGTTTCCTACGTAGTTGTATTGCATATCAATCTAGTAAGTGAGCAGTAAAAACGTCAGACAGTACAGTGCACAAAAGGTATGGCGAATTGGCAGACAAGGCGACTAGTTCGGATTGCTAGATGTATCCGGGGCATATACTGGTCATCTTCGGTCACTGAGTACCTAAACACGCAATTTCGGCAAGCAAAGAGCCACGTTAGGTAGGAAAATGTGGCCAGAACAATACATGACTTCATTATATGAACTTATTGGCTGCTGATCTGATTCGTAGTGTACTATAAACTAAGAATCTTAACTTTGTTCTTAGTTTAAAAACACCTTTATTTGTGTTTCAGGAAAACGTTTAGAGAAAATTTATCAAGTATGATTAAGATCGGTACTAATCCGATTTCGCTACATTACCCTTTTTATAGATGTTTTAGAGTTGGTATAAAGTACTGTATAGAAAGAAACTTCAGGCACTAAAGCTGAGTAATGTATTTTAAGTAAACGACAGTAACTTCCAAATACATAATAAACATTACTCACGTGTATATCCCTGATTTGTTGGACATGCACAGTGAGTCAAACGAGAGTCACCTTCATATTGTTAGCAAACTTCGTCATCCTACCTACGTCGAAACCTGTAACATAATTTTAATTTCCTTCAAGTTTCTAGTACATAATGTGGATCAGATAAACAGCCAAAAAGTTCGCAGACCAAAATAATTTCTTGGTCTGGTTACAGTTATTTATCACAAAAATAGTCTTTCGCACTAGTTTCAGGCAAACATCTCCAAACAATGTGAAAATGATACAACCACTCATGAAAATGTATAGAATTATTGAGTCGCACAGCAGCTCCCGAAATCAAGAAGTGACATCGTTTGAAAAGATGGATGTATGGTTCACCAGAAGAAAACATAAAGGTGGAAAATAATATCCGACAGAAGCAAAATATGCTGACGACCTTTAGTTAATAATCGGAATTCAGATAGCATCCAATTATTTTGCGCAAAGTTCTAAGTGGAGTGATAACGTGTCATTATGAACCAAATGAAAATCAACGAATTCGGTTCTTAAAATTTGAAAACGATGGAAATATCTACTAGTTAACGGCAAAGTAGAGTTTAGGTGGCGCTTAAGCTAAATTACATGACATACTTAATTTTGAGCAAAACTGTATCTAAGTACATTATGCCGATTATTAAGTAATCAAGAGTTTAGTGAATCTAGATATTCTCCCTTTCTTACTATCACTATAACTATCAGCCCTACGTTTGTCAGGCTTGTAAACAGAAAGATAGGAAAACATTGTGTTACAACTGCTGTCAGTTTGTGTTGAAAACGCTCACCCCAATTAGGAAATTCAACTCAAAACTCCAGCTTAACTATTCATCCTAACCTTAAACTTACTGCATTATGACTGATATCGAGTGGTGACGAAAACTTTAGGATGTGAAAAACCCTGATTAAAATTTTATTATGTATTCGTTCATGTAAGTTTGTCATTCTTACTTTATTAAAAGGGATAATTTACCTTACGACAGTTATTTGTTACGATTAAAGCTGATTTTTATTACTCCTTTATTGCCCTGAATTCTCAATTGTTTGATGACTAGGAAATTTTCTCGATGGGCTGAAAATACGCATAGAGTCGTCAGTATATCATACTGTGACCCAATATCCTTAAGCGAAATTTTTTCAAGCACCATAACCATTACATAGGGATCCAAAAGGCTCTAGTGAATGAACTATGAATGCATCAGAAAGATTTACGAGTGAACAATATAAGTGTAACTGGATGTGAGATACATAACGACCTCTCAAGTCAACATACCGGAATACAATAAACAAGATGAAAAAACCTAGGTCATCCACGCCCTTTTAAAAATCACCTGTCAATAAGATAAAATCGTTAGTGTGTTTAAACAAATTAAACATCTAATGTCTTGACAGTGAGAAAATAATAAAGACCCTGCCTTGGAAAAAATAAAAAATTGTTTCACCTTTTGTTGTGTGCTTGATTCGCAGATGATATTTATGAGACGTACGCTAATGCGGATATTTATGTGAAGTTAGGCTCCACAAATGTAACATATTATATTGAAAAACTACTGGTGGAATTATTTGCTTTTGTTAACAGAGTTTTAGTGTGTTGGATTAAAAGTTCTAAGATGTAGAGATTTTTAAGATGAAAGTGCTTGTTCAGGCGTATGACACAATTTCATTTAGTTACGCCATCTAGACAATAGGAAAAAAACAATGAAGCAGTACTTGTTACTTCACAAGAGTCATTAACTATCTTGTAATGAATACTTAAATGAATTTTGTACACCAGATCATGAATGAATTCAAACAACGCTAATGACGCGGCTGTGTAAAACATACAAAATTTCCGTAATTCTCCAAATTTGCATCATCCGACTTTGTGTACTCTTGATTTCAAACAGCATACGGTTGTTCTGATTTCGATTATTTAAACGCGATATAACATAATCCCTAATCACGGTGAATAAGATTATCTGGTACACACAAATATGGATATTTAAATGAACGTAAGACCACCACCGCATGGGCCAGTTCATGGCGTACGACTAAGTCACCGGTTATACTTGACCTTGACAGAGGTCGATGATCGGTTCGATATTCAGTGACCCAACCGCCGAATGATTTGGTTAGGGCTTAGTGACATTTCGCTGACCCTACAATACACCCCCACTACTGCAATACTAATGGGTGCTTCAGTGTCCTGATGTTCAAGCATTGTTGCTTTAGCGACAAGTTCCTTAATTGTGGAGAATGCTTTTCTTAGTGTGTCGTCTAGATTGATGGATTTCGCATTTCCACGAAGTTGGTGGGTTGGCGGTTTCATAAGTGACGCGCACTTAGGTATGAACTGTCTATAAAAACTTACAAGGTTGCTGAACGTGCGTAATTGCTTGACGGTGGTCGGTTCTCATTAATCCAGAATGGCCGCCACTTTGACTCTAAGGAGTCGAATGTCTTGCGCATCTATAGTGTGTCCTGGGAAGTCTATTGAGTCACTTCCGATTTGGCATTTCTGAATGTTTACAGTAATACCATGTTTTTGTAGTCGATCGAAAACAAGATCCAGATGCTGGAGTTGCTGTTCTTTGTCCGGACTTACTATTAGACAGTCATCAACATACGCATGTACGAAGTTGAGACCTCGAAAAACGTTGTCTATAAACCTTTGAAACGTTTGTGCAGCGTTTCTTAGACCGAAAGGCTTTCGCAAAAATTCATAGAGTCCGGAGGGAGTTATGATAGCTGTTTTCGGTATGTCGTCAGTAGGCATAGGGATTTGGTTATACGCTTTAACCAAGTTGATTTTCGGAAAGACAGTTGTACCTTTCAAGGTAGCTGTCAAATCGTGAATGTGAGGCAACAGGTAGCGATCGGAAATAGCTTTTCCATTCAATCGTCGATAGTCACCAGTTGGACACCAATCGTTGCTGTCCTTTTTAAGGACCACGTGCAACGGAGATGCATATAGGTTATTTGACGGTCGTATGATTCCTAAGTCTATCGTATGGTCGAACTCGTTTTTTGCCAACCTTAGCTTTCCGGGGGCTAGTCGTCGTGCTTTAGAGATGTGATGTGTAACATTGCTGGTTGCACAAAGTAATGTTGGTTGTGATTGGTATATCCCAGGATACTTATCGAGTAGTGGTTGATAGAGTGGGTCCATCGTATGCTTAATGACTGGGGATAATCTGCAACCAGAAAAAGAAGTTGCGCAGACAAATAAATTAGTGTTTCCGTCTACTAGCCTCCGTTTGCGCGTATCGATGAGTAGACCATGGTGTTGTAGAAGGTCTATATCAATGGTTGGTATAGAAACATCTGCAACAACGAAAATCCAACGTATGGGTTTGCGTATACCCACGTTAAGGTAAACGTACCTTTTACCGTATGTAACGATAGGCTTTCCGTTTTCCACCTGTAGATTTA